TTAATAGGGACATTAAGGAGACAGGTAAAGGTATTTGTGATGGCAACTCAAATAAGTAGGGGATCTTGGTCCGAGATGAAGAACTTGTTTTCGACAGGGAGAAGTGCGAATCAGGTATTACACATCAGTCATGCATGAACAGAAAGGCACCCAAAAAGAGAAGCCACCTTCTGGTTGGTGATTCAGTTATAAGGGATGTAAATTTAGGAAAGGACGCAGAGGTTTCGAATGAGGTCAGGTGTCTTCCAGGTGCTACTGTCAGTAGGGACAAGAAGCGTATTTTTTAAATAGTCAAGAATGCCAGCAAGGATTGTGATGTGGAGGCTATTGTACATCTTGGCACTAACGACCTGTCCCAAAAAGATGTACTCACTGTGCAGAATGACTTCCAGAGCCTGGGGCAGGATCTTAGCAGAATAGGCTGTAGGCTTATTTTTTCAGAGGTCTTACCAGTGTATAAGGACCAAAATGGAAAAGGCCAGCATATAGCACAATTCAATATGTGGCTAAAGGAGTGGAGTAAAGGGGAAGGCTTTGGATATATTAGTCACAATGTCAGCAGCTGGTCCAATGAAGAAATGTACAAAAGAGATGGTTTGCATCCATCAAAGAAAGGGACTGAGTTACTTGGCTATAAATTCACAGATTTTCTGGAGAAATATTTAAACTAAACAGCCGGGACAGTGAGCTAACTGATACAGAACATCCCTGTCCCCAGCAATCTAAAAATTATAGGGCTATCAGTGTATGTAACATAGATGTGTGTATGGACAAGAACATCAACCTTGCTGTCAAGCAAAATCAAGCTCTTAATAGCGAGTGCCACACAAAGTACACTAACCAAATAGGTGGTAAGACATTAGGGGAACTCCGGCACCACACAGGTTATGTAGGAAGTAAACACAGGGTTGGTCATAAAGGACTCAAATGTCTATACACAAATGCACAGAGTATGAACAGCAAACAGGGAGAACTAGAAATTCAGGTTAATGAGGGCAGATATGATATTGTTGCCATTACAGAAACATGGTGGGATGAAACCCACACATGGAACACACAGCTAGAGGGATTTAAATATACTATATACTAAATATATAAATATATACTATATACTAAATATATAAATATACTATGTGTATACTATAGGCCACCCAACCAAACAGAGGAAAAGGATGAACTTTTTGCTAGTCAGCTAACTAAGGTATGTAGGAAGCACAACACCATGGTAATGGGGGACTTTAATTACCCTGACATCAACTGGGAGACAAACTCTGCACCAAGTGGAAGATCAAACAGATTCCTGACAAACCTAGCAGATAACTTTGTCTCCCAAAAAGTAGAGAAGGGAACTAGGGGATTAGCCATTTTGGACCTAATTCTCACTAACAGATGAAATGATAGAAGGTGTTGAAGCCATAGGAAC